CATTTACATCACATTAGGTATCATATGTAATCTAGCCAGGATTTAAAGTATATGGGAGAATGTGCATAGGTTGTATGTAAATACAACATTTAACATAAGCCACTGGAACGCCCACAGATTCTGGCGTGTGCAGAGGTCTTGGAGCCGACTCACTGGGAAACCACGGGGCCCCTGGACTGGAGAATCACCGCCGCTCAGAGGGAAGCCAAGCTGGGCTGCGCGGCTGACGCCACCCAGTGGCCAGTGTTAGCAACTGTCTTGCTTAACCTCCTTCCCTTCGGTATTCTACCCCCGCCCGCTAGGATCCTGTCCAAACTTGCCCTTTCCACCTCCTTTCATCAGTCATTAGCCTCCTTTATGCAAAATCTCCACTGAATATCAAACAACCTCCTCCCTACCCCCCACACAGATCTGAGGACTAGACAGACAAGTTATGTCAGAATCTCTCTTTGCCAGTGGGCAGATATTCACACCCCTACCCTTTCCTTGAGGCAATGTCCCCTCAAGGTCCCAGGCCTTACTCAGGTCCTCTGTACCAGCTGCACCCTTGCTGGACCTAAACCCTTATCCCCTGCTCCACGTGCCTAACAACCCCCTAGACTCTGGGTCCAGGCACCGACAGGCTGATGCCCTCATCAGGAGGTCAGGACGGCCATGTTCTGTTGCTGCGTCCTCTTCGGTTTCATCTTCCCAACCCACAGATGTTCCTTACCTTCCCACAAGCTTTCCTCTCCACTGAAAAGACACTTGTTAAAATTACGCACTCTTCATGTTTTACGGCAAGAGGGTTTTCATAATGTCTAGTCCCAAATACTTCCAGAATTAACAGTCCCTGTTTGAATTTTCCCATGAGCTTCTAGAGAATCGTGTGTGTGTGTGTGTGTGTGTGTGTAATATTTATTTATTCGGCTGTGCTGGGTCTTAGTTGCAGCATATGGGATCTAGTTCCCTGACCAGGGATGGAACATGAACCCCCTGAATTGAGCATGGAGTCAACCCCTGGACCACAAAGGAAGTCCCTCACTTGTGTTTTTTTAAGGGGCAGGAGGAGCGACCAGTGTGTTTACGGACGAGGGGCTTCCCTGGTGGCTCAGAGGTAAAGCGTCTGTCTCCAATGCTGGAGACCCGGGTTCAATCCCTGGGTCAGGAAGATCCCCTGGAGAAGGAAAGGGCAACCCACTCCAGGACTCTTGCCTGGAGAATCCCATGGACAGAGGAGCCTGGTAGGCTACAGTCCATGGGGTCGCAAAAAGTCAGACACGACTGAGCGACTTTACTTACTTTACTTGAGAATACACAAAGCCAAGTTTACAGCTTATAACAGTGCACTGCTGGGAGTCCTCCAGTGATCCAGAGGTTGGGACCCTGAGCTTTCACTGCTGGGGCGCATGTTTGATCCCTGCTCCAGGAACTAAGATCCCTCAAGCCACATGGCAAAGCCAAAAATATTTTTTAAATAAAAAAACAAAAAGTCACTGTTAGCCATGAGCAACAGGTATCTCAGTTAATAATTTCAGTGTTTGGTTTTTTTTTCTATGTATGGGAAGATGTAAGAATCTGGGTTCATTAAAATTTCCCTGAGGCATCTAACTACCTAGGGGGCCTGTTTTTCTAGAGTACAGAGAACTTTGTCTTGTTCTTTGTCCTCAATTTCCTCAGGGTGCACTGTCCATCAGCAACTGCAGGGACTAATGATTTGGTCCTTGTAGGACTGGATGGTGGGCAACATTCTTTGCCCTGGTTTATCTCTCTGTCTCATCCAAAAAACAAAACAAAAAAGTACTGAGGCAGGCAAGACTGGTGTGGCAGCTACATGAACTCAAGCTCCATTTTCTGCTCCGCCATCCTCCGAAAGTACCTTCACAGTGCCTCACAGTCCAAAATAGCTGGCAGAGCTCCTGCCATCACTCTTATATTCCTAACTATAGAAAGGAGAAACAGGGGAATGGGGACTGCCTGCTAAAGGGCACAAGGTCAAGGCTTCACCTCTGAGAATCACTGGCTGAGCGGCACAACTTTTGACCTGAAGCCACTTCTCACGTTCACACCACAGCAGCTTGGCTCGCTCACTCAGTCACTACATCAACAGCAGACCACTGATCCAGCACCTTCTGGGAGCCTGATATGGGGCCTCATGGAGGAGGGGAGAGAAAACAGGGACCCCAATCCTCAAAGACAGCTGGACTTCATCCCACACCCCCACCATGGACAGATTAGCTCCCTGTGGCTCCAATAACGAATGACCCCAAGCTTACTGGCCGACAACAGAAGTCTATGACCTTATGAGTCTGTAGGTCAGGATCCGGGGGAGGTCTCAGAAGCTAAGATCAACTTGTAGGCGGGTCTCCTGCCCGCAGGAGGCTACAGGAGTCAACCTGTCCCTTTCTGCCTTTTCTCGTTTCTAAAGGCTTCCCCGTTCCTTGGCTCGTGGCCCCTGCCTCCACCTCTCAAGCCAGCACTGGCAGATTGAGTCCTTTTCCACATCATCACTGATTCTAAAGTCTGTTATCACCCTCTTCCAATTTAAAGACCCCTGGGATTACCTGAGGCCCACTGGACAACCCCCAACCAAGGCCAGCCCATTAGAGACCTTACTTGCCCTTGGCTGGGTAGGGTGACAATCACAGGCTCCTGGGACTGGCAGATGGACATCTGTGGGAGGTCACTATTCTGCACCCCTGATTATCAGACCTACAGAGATGTTCACACACTTCTCATACAGCCCGCCCGGGAGGGGGGCTGCCCTGGCGGTTCAGACAGTAAAGAATCTGTCCGCAATGCGGGAGACCTGGGTTCGACCCCTGGCTTGGGAAGATCCCCTGGAGGAGGGCGCATGAGACAGTGTTTCTGTTTGTAACGGGAGGTTTAATTAAAGAGAAAATACTGACACTAAATCTTGAGACAGTGCAGGTGAGCTGGAAATCTCTACAGCTCACAAACAGCAACTGAGTTCTCCTGGATGATTGGTTTTTTTCTTCAGAAATTCGAAAAACTTATTTGGCTGCGCCAGTTCTTAGCTGTAGCATGTGGGATCTGTGTGGCCGCACGCAGGATCTTTAGCTGAGGGATCTTTGTCGGTCGAGGCAGGCAGGATCATTTTTAGTTTCGGCATGGGACAGGGGTCTAGGTTCCTGACCAGAGATTGAACCCGGGCCCCCTAAACTGGGAGCTTGGTCTTAGGCACTGGAGCACCAGAGAAGTCCCCTGGATGGTTTTAAATGTAATTGAATAAGCAGTATTACAACTGGTAGTGGGGAGGAAAACAAGCTTCTTGCCCAACCTATTCCTACTGCCTATCTGCATATTTGCCTATGTTCCCTCTACTGTCATTTTTACAGTCGTACATGCAGAGTTTGTCTTCCCAGGGGAGAACAGACAGGTCAGAAGAAATATCCAAAGGGGTGACAGAAAGGAAAAAAAGCTTAAAACATGGGTCTGAGATGGTAAGATTAGGGAAAAACAAACTCCTAAAATGAACTGTTGTGTCTTACTGTTAAGACGCACACAGTCTCCCTTAAGGTGTATCCTGGCACAACACTCCAAACTCGAGTCCAGAGAATGACCCCCGGGGCCCCTGTCTGGGAGGCAAGAGGACAGCTTTTATTCCTGTTTTCTGTGGAAGAAACTGGTCAGCCGGGCAGTACAGGCAACAGAACATGCACGTGCTGCGTTGGTGGATGGACCTACAGAACGGGCTGCCCTTCTCTGAAAGCCCCCACCTGCCCACCAGGCTCTGTGGTCAGCAGGACACACAGACATGGCCAAGACACGTCTGCTCCTACTGACCCCCGCCTTCCTCACGGTCTGCCCACACCCCACCGAGGGGAAACCTCCCCAGACCATTTCTCCATTTCTCCAGGACCAGCGCCCCCTGCAGGCAGCTGTGGGCAGGGCAACCCAACCTCCAGCACCAGGGCCTCCTGTCCCGAGCAACCCCTGCCACGGGAGGAGGGCTGGGCATGCCCAGACCCGGATCCTGTGAGCAGAGCCGGCCAAGAGGCAGCTCCAGTGTCCACGGAGCACTGGCGTCACCCTCGGGCTTGAAGGAGGTCAATGAGGCAACTCAGGAGAGCCAGAAGTTTCTATGGGAGGCCTGGCAGGTGACCCAGGCTTCCAGCCCCACCTCCAGCGCCTGTGAACGCCCGGAGGACCCAGGTCAGCTCCTGCCAGATCCAGGGAGACAGGAACACGATGGCGGGCAGCCAGGGCCGACTCCTCAATTCCTACATTTTCAGAGAGCACCACTCTAACCATGGACCAACCCTGGCTGACTCAGCAGCAACCTTCCTCCATTTTTAGCTTGCAGACAAAAGGCAGCCTGCCAGGCAAGGGTCCTCGGAGGGGCTGGCTGCTCTGTGATACAGCTCGCCCGGGAGGGCACAAGGGCCCTGGGGGTGGGGGAGCTGATCTTGCATAAGCCTCAAGGTTCTCAATGGCCACACGAGCTGCCCACAAGGGGGGACCTGCCTACTGCCTTGGAAACTGGGAGGCTGGTGGGCACACAGTGGGCCCCTGCCCCTCGGGGGTCTCCAAAGCAGAAACTAGGACCAAAAGCAGATCAGGGAGACCAGGACGTGTCATCGGAACATGTCCCGCAGCCACACCGTACTCTCCCCCCGACCCCCACCTGGGTCCTCCCGTGACCTGCCCCCAGGCCCGTCCGTCCTCCTTCCGGAACGGGGCTTACTGCGCCCAAGGAAAACGCTACCTTTGGCTACCGTGCAACCACCACTTGACTTACTTTGAGAACTATAATTCAGAAATGAGTTTTAAACATGGCATTTTCTATCTTGCATGGAATCCTTGTGCAAATAATTGACAATTCAAGTGTTAAAACATTTCAACTTCTAAAAAAAGTAAGTTTTAAGAAGTGTGCCTCTTCAAAAGGGAACCTGGTTGGCCTGGAGCTGATAAACACCAGGCTTTAACCTGCTGGGTGCTGACAGCCAGGCCGGCCCCCACCAGAGAATAAAGTGACCACATGTAGAGTGACTCGGCAGCAAGTGGGTCAAAAAAAGTTTATTTTGAATATTTAATTTAAAAAAACCATACCAATGAGGTGCGCTACAGAAACGTAGATACAAGGATCGCATATAAAACCCAACCTAACTCTGGTAGAGCAATGCACTTCAGGAAAGAAGATGTGTCCCTTGCGGTCACTGAGGTCCCAACACCTGAGCAGTTCCACACGGTCACTCGGGAGGGTGCTGAGCGGGCCTCCCAGCCCCTCCCAGGGGATGGGCTCCCCACAGCAGCCCAGGAGAGCTCACGCTTGCTCGCTTCACATTCTCAGGCAAGTCAATCCATTACATTTTGCTGTCATTTAACATGCTATTTTGGCAGAAAGAGTACAGCTCCCTTGATGGGAAGCATTTCTGCGGTTCACAGGGGGAAGGGACCTGCCTTCCCACAGCATCCAGGAAAAGAAGAGAAAGGCAGGGCTTTGCAAAACCCAGCAACCACTGCAGGATTTCACAGCGAGAGCAGTGCCTCCACGCGACCAGAACACTCCAGTAATCAGCAACACTAACTTCCCATCAGGCCCTTCCCTCTTCCTCCAAACCCTCAGGACAAGGCCCCCACCACAAGGGGTGGTCCTGCCTCCCGACAGCGGGGCACAGACAACCCACACTCGGGACTGAAGGTCACCAAAGTGACTCCACACCACCGTTGATTTGGCAAAAAAAGAAAATACCTTAAATGCATAAAAACAATCAGCAAGTCCTCCAAGGAACATGATTACAATATATTAGCAAGTCCTGGGGCGTAAACATTTCCAAAAGCATCAGCAAAAGTATTAAATAGAAAAGCAGGAGCGTACACGCCCCTCCGCACCCAGGAGGCGCCAGGCCCGGCGGCCGTGGCGGGGCAAGGCGCCTACTGCCGCAGCTCCACGTAGTTGGCAGGGAAGAGCCCGTACCTGCCCTTGCACAGCCCGCGCCACCAGCCATCGTCAATCATCTCGATGTTGGTGATGATGTCATCGGGGTCGAAGGAGATCTCATCATCGCCCGCTGGGGAGGAGGCCAGAGAGCAGTGGTCACCCTCAGTGTCTCTGGTCAGCCCACCACCAGGAGCAAGACCCACCAGCAGCCTCTCGAGTTGGCAGCCTCCCACAGAGGCTCTGTGGGGGTGCAGGGTGCTGGGGTGGAGGATCCACAGGGGTGGAGGGGTCCCGGTCTCCCCTGCTCAGTGAGGGTAGCTCTGTACACACATGGGCAGCTACAGAGAACCGATAGAGCCCTTCATACAAATCCCTAAGCCAGGACTTCCCGGTGGCACAGTGGGCCAGAGTCTGTCTGCCAATGCAGGCTGCACACCTTATCTGGACGATTTCACATGCCGTGCGTGGAACAACTAAACAACTATGCCCCCACTACTGAAGCCCGAGCGCCCTGGAGCCCACACTCTGCAACAAAAGAAGCCAGAGTGAGAAGCCCTCACGTCAGAATGAAAAGCAGCCCCTGCTCCCCGCAACTGGAGAAAAGCGCGCACAGCTAGAAGATTCAGCACAAAAAAAAAGACACCCTAACCCAGACCAGGTGGAACGGGACTGAGGAAGATAGAATTCCCTGCACTGTATCTGCAACTTTTCTATAACCTTGCAGTTGTTTAAATATAAATTCTTCTTAAAAACTGTAAATAGCATTCTGAGAGTCATAACTCGAGAGAGGAGTCCCTGGAAGTCCCCAGTCCCACACCCCCACCAACCCTCCTTCTGGCCCACCAGCGGTTTCTCACCAGCCTGGTAGTCGTAGAGGGCGATGGCAGTGATTCCAAGGTCATTTTCGTATTCGTCGTAGGTACCTTCCTCTGGAATAAAGCCAGGGCCGAGTCTGAGAGGGAACCAGAGCCCCACGCCCACTCCTGGCGACAGCCCTCCCAAGGTCTGGGAGGGGCCGTCGGGAGTCAGCGGCCCCAGCGCCGAGGCCGCCAGCCCCTCCTGCCGGCAAGGGGAGCCACCCCGAGGAGCGAGCCCGCAGAGGGGTCCTCTCGGCGGAGACCGGCACAGCTGTCAAGCTGTAATTGTTTACATTTCAAACATTCAGCACTATTGTCAGGAAACGTCCATGTCCTGAACAAATGAATGGCGAGTGGGAGACACTGATCACACCTGCCATCGTGCTCAGGGGAGGGGAGCGCTCTGCCCTGGGCAGGCTCTCGTGCTGGTTCCCATGTCACTCCCGGAGGAGAACGGGCCCCCAGGCTCATCCACCCACTCTACCTTCAGGGTGCCGGGGACCTCCACCTTGTGACCTCCAGACACCGCGGCCTCACCTCGGGGAAGACAACAGCAGGAGACCCTCCTCCACGCCCACCCCCTCAGTGCCCCCAGCACGGGCAGGGGTCTCCCTGGAAGCCCCCGGGCGCGGGGCCACAGCAGAGGTGGGGCAGCTCAGCCCGCAGAAAAGGGGAGGTTTTCAGAGGAAAAGCAGCAGAGGGGGCGTGACGCAGGAGATCCCGCACCTGCTTGATAGCGGCTCGGCGCCTCCGTGCTTTCGTAGACGGCCTCCGAGACGTAGGCCTCCGGGTACCCTGTGGTCTCCACGCTGTAGCCCAGCTCAGGCTCGGTGCCGGAGCTCGGCTCAGCCCGGAACGGAGCTGCGTCCTGGGGAGTCAAGGGCAAGTTCCTGTGGCCCCACCGCCCAGAGCCACACGGAAACCCGGCAGCCCGGCCGAGACGGGACAGACGCCGAGGGAGGCGGGTCACCCACCGACGTCCTGACGGGGCCCCTCCCCAGGATCCCCTCTCACCTCGACCCTGAGACCCACCATCACTAAGGACCTGGCGGCCACAAGAGATGCGCGTTCCTGGGGCAGGCCTGGCCTGCTCTGCTTCAGGCCCAGAGCACCAAGGCACCCCAAACCCCCAGACCCCCCAGCCCCCTGAGGCTCTGACAACAGCTCCAGGGCAGCACCCCAGCCCTCCAGCCAGAGCAGATAAGCCCGCGCATGGCGGGTCCCATCCCCACCAACGCTGCGGAGGCGAGGCATGGGATGGACCACCAAGCCTCGCACAAGAGCACAGGGTGCGCTGCTGACAGCCTCAAGCTGACCACCAGCCCAACCAGGCTGCGCCTGGGGCTCCCTCACAGGTCAGAGCAGCAAGGTGCCCGCGGGGAGCAGCTGCAGAAGAGCCAGAGGTGGGCAGGGGTGCAGCAGGCGGGAGAGCCCCTCTGGGGGCCGTGGAGAGGAGGGCTGTACCTCGGCCAGACACGGGAGCCCCTCAGGGCTGAACAAAGCAGCGACGGACTCCTGGCAGCATCCCCCAGAAGCGACAGGGGCAGACCGGAGGGCAGGGAGCTGCTGCGCTGGGGGGTCACCCTGAGCAGGTCAGTGGGGCAGGGGCAGCCTCCCTCACTGCCCTCCCCCACCTCACCCATCGGGTGGTTCAGGCAGGCTGGCAGGCTCTGGGACATGCGGGGGGCGGGGCGTGGCCTGCACAGGGCCCTTTCCACGGGATTAGTTATAAAACCCCACCTGCCCGGCCAGCCCCGCCCACAGCTCTCCCACCCCGACCCCTTATGTTTCCTGAGTCAAGCCAGTGTGCGTGCCTGGGACTCAGGGAGTGACCGCTGAGAGGTGCCGTCTGAGGTGACGAGCGAAGACGGGCGGGTGAACAGGACCCTGGGGCAGAGCGGGGACTCGGGCTCGGGGGTGTGGGTGTGGATGGTGGGGGCCGAGCTGCTCTGGGAGAGGGGCTGCAGGGGCCTTTGGCCGGGGGTAGGGAGGTTGCTCAGTGACCAGGGGTCAAAGGGCAGGTCCCGGGGACCAATGACTCTGCAGAAAGGGCCGAGGGAGACAGGAGGTGAGGAGTGGCCGGCAGAGAGAACAAGGGAAAGGGCAGCAGACTTCTGGCTCCCGCGTGTCAGGAGACGTGCGGGGCAGGGGGAGTTCGAGGGGGTGTACACCCCGCACACAGGAGGACTGCTCTCTGGGTCCCCGACAAGAGCAGGGTGAGGCCCCATCCATAGGGCACTGGGCTGGCAAGGGCGTCTCCAGGAGTCAGAGCGTCACTGGCAAACCATGACAACACCAACCTCGTAGACAGGGCTCGATGCTGGCATCTCCTGAGTCGGCTGGGGTGTGGGGGACGCGGGTGGCGTGGGCTTCTGGGCCCGGGCCTGCTCCTGAAACACAGAGAAACGGCCATCAGCACGTCCTCAGGCCACTCGCTGCCAGAGGAAGCAGCAGAGACGGGAGCAGACAGACTTCAAGGGCGCGTCTGCCTTGAAGCCAAGGTCATCTGCACTACCAGGTCGGTCACAAGTCCTCCAGGTGCTGGAACCACCAGCGAGGAACACGCCCCAGGCAGCGTATGTCCTTGAAGGGCTGGAAACAGAGACATTCCTTCCCAGGGGCATGCTCACTCCCAAGACCTGGAGGGGAGGCATCTGTGGCCCCCTGCCCACCAGACGGAGCACTCAGATGCATGCGGTCTGTGTCCTGCCTCTGGACACCGCTCACAGCCCAGAGAGCGCTGGGGCGACCAACGCTGTGCTGAGGGGACTCACACGGGGGAGGCGGGCGAGGCGGACGGGGCTGGATGCAGTGAGGGACGACACGGCAGAAGGGACAGCAAGAGACCCTCAAAAGCAAAAAGGAGGGACAACCACCACCAGAAACCTCTGAAGTCTTCCAACTTTTCTGCATCTTTCAGATCAGATCTCAGGGATTACACTCTCGAGTCATAAAAAGGAAGGTGTTATATAAAAAAGACACCAAGTTACCAGGAAAAATGCCTTGGAGTGCGGGCCTACAACAAAGAAAAACTTAAAAACGCCCAACTAAAAACCTGAAAGAGAGAGCTTTAAGGTTCCTTGGCAGTTAAGGAACAATACAAGGAAATTAAGAGTTGGCTGTTATCCATGACAAAGCATGCGTCAGGGCGTCTGGAATCCCCATCCAGCACTCCCTGCCACTGCATGGCCCCTGCCTCCACCCCTCACCCTCCCCTGATGGGGTTTTCAGAGCCCCAACCACCAACTCGGGGAAGAAATGTTTGTGGGTTTAAGTAAAGCTTTACGATCTGTGAGACACCACAGGCATTACTACAGATTCTGCGCTTCCTCACCACCGCAGAGTCGAGGGTTTTCACACCCGCTTCCCGGGCGAGGACGTGGCCGCGGCTCCCTGAGCTGATCTGCCTCCAGCCGCCCGACTGAGGGGTGACAGACTGGCACAGCACCATCGGACATCAGTCCTCCCAGAAGGGTTTTAGGGCTGGAAGGGCCGCCCCATCCTTTTCACCTCTAAAGGCTCCCATCTCTACTTTCCCTCGTGGAAAAAGTCTACAAAGAATCACAGAGCAGCCGGCAGAGCCAGGCTCCAGAAGCAACAGCAAGAGCCCGCAGACCCACTCCCGCACAGGGACTTCTCCTGTGCCCCCACCTTCCACCCAAGGCGACGGGCTCCCCAGGGGCAGGGTGGGGACAAACTGCCAGGGAGATGTGTGGATGCGGGCTGCCTGTCACCCTGGGCTGGGTCAACACGGCTGACGGGCGGGTCAGCTGTCCAGCGTCCGGGGACAAGAGCCTAGGCCACCTGTACGGCTGAAACCGTCAGTGCGAGAAGGCGCTGTGCCTACAATGACCCCATGAACTGGAGACATGAGCGAGAAGCACCCAAGGCCCGTGGGCTCCCAGGCCCCTGGCGCCGCCCGCACTCACGTCCAGCTGCCGCCGTGCCTCCTCCTGCTCCTGCCGCTCCTGAGCCATCCTCTGCGCCCGCTCCGCCTCGGCCTTCCGCCGGTCCTCCTGTTCTTTCTCCTTTGCCAGGTTTTCAAAGTTCGCTCTGATGTTACTTGTTTTGCTGTTCACTACAAAGGAAGCAGAGACTTACCCAGAGTAATGCCATCTCCCCCACACCCAGCTGGCCCAGGGGACCTTCCCCGGGGACCCAGGCACTGGCTGAGCGGGGACGCGCCCCCTTGGCTGCCAGCCCAGCCTCCGCCAGGAACGAGCCTTTGCTGCTGTGTCTGCTACACATGCAGTGGGAAGGTGGGCACAGAGCCCTGCATCTGGAACATTCTCATGCTCCAAACATCACTACATGCTTTACCACCAGACACTCACAAGGAAGGTATCCCTAGGGAGGTCCTCGATCGAACAGTCAGAAGCAATGACTGAGCTCCACCCCCGTAACGTTTCCTGTGACAAAATGGGAGGGCCGGGCACCCCTCGAGGACCCCGGCGGATGGGCCGTGGGGCCTCCAGGGAAAGCACCTGCAACTAGGTGAGATGCAGGCTGATCTGACACTTCCTGGGACAGGGTTTTCCCTGAATTTTTATTACAATGGGCAATCACTTGCCATCCCCCAAACCCACAGATAACCAGGTTCTCCATTAACACTCCACCGGCTCCTGTCAGCTCTCCACTTGCCCTCGGCTCCGTGCTGGAACACCGCACGGCACGGAACTTCTGGGAAAGCCCTCAGGACTGCCGGGGGTTTGCCAGGACTCACCTGCTTCAACAGGGACAGTCTTCTGGTAAGACGAGGACACCGCGGCAACATCCTCAAAGGTGGAGGCATTCTGCCGAGACACGAGCAGGGGTCAGGAGGGCCGGGTCCCCCTCTCCTGCTGCCAGCACAAGTGCTGAACCTGCTCAGGTGCTAAGCCAGCCCCAGATCCTCCTGGGGAACCAGCCCGGGCCCGGAGATCTTGTACCCACCAGCCCACACGGTAACGGAGGCACAGAAAGTGTGCCAAGACGCCCCAACTGGTGACCCAAGAATCAGCATCAGAGAAGAAACTCATATGTGGGGGGAATCAGTAGGGCCAGGGGTTTTACAGCAGTAAAACTAGTACAGGAATCTATAGTAGGGAACGAAAGTTATCACACACTCATCCAGACCCACAGGACATACAACCCAAAGGTAAACCCCAATGCTGCCCCCTGCTGTGGGCGACTGAGACAGGTTCAACACAGGTTCACAGGGAGGGGTGTGTGTGTTGGGGAGTACATGGGAAACCTCTCCATCTTCCTCTCAAATTCAAGAAAACTGCTTTAAGGGCAGAAAAACCAAAATCCCATCTTCACAACCGTAAACCCAGCATGTCTTCCTCCTGAGGGCTCACCGCCAAGGAGACCCAGTGTTTACAAGGGAGCCCAGAAGCCTCTGCTGTGTGGGAAGAGAACACGAGCCTCCCCTGCCCCCAGGATGGTCTGGGTGGCGGCCCCGCCCTGCCAGGCGCCCTCCTGGTCTCCTCTGACCAGCCTCCCAGTCTCCTCTTCCGCCACCATCCTAGACGTGGCCTTTGTCCACACGCTCTGCAGGCCCCCACCCCACCGGCACTGCCTGCCCTGCCTGGCAGCCTGCCCCAGCTGTCTCACCAGCCCTGCCTGCCACCCAGTGACCCAGCTCAGCAGGTGCCCCAACATTCACCTGGGAGGCCCTGCCCGCTCCGTCCCCCCACCCCTTACACCCGGGGACGTCAGCATCCACCCCCAGCTCCAGCTGGAAGCCTGTGATCAGACCACTGACGCCGCCTCGTATCTGGGGCCCTGGCCTGGCAGGTTCTCCGAGACCCACTCTCCACCCCGCGGCCAGGGGGTTGCTGGCTACACAGCCCATCCGTGTCCCTCACCCACCAGACCCTTGCCCGAACACTCAGGGCCTACCAGATGAACGTAAAAGCCTCCCAGGGCCTGCGGGGCTCCCGAGCTGGCTTCCCACCCAGCCACGTGCCGCCTCCTCCGCAACAGGCCTGCCCGCTTCCTTCTGCCCACCTGCACCGGCGAGGAGGCCCGGCCCCACGCCCACACTCGCAGTGCCCCGCCTCCAAGCCCTCAGCTCCCCCGCATCAGTGAGCGCTGGCTCTGCTTCCTCAGGACACTACCCGCCACCAGAGTCCCACGCTCAGGGCCACGGGACGGGGCCCCAAGGGTCAGCCAGGAGCCTGATAGAAGGGAACTCGGCGGGGACAGGCCCTGTCATCCAGACTCCCACGGGCAGAGCAGCTGCAACCTCCGGCCACTGAGCCGACAGGTGCCCAGTGGGGACCACCCCGCACAGCTCGTGGGTCCACCCCTCCGATGCAGCTGGAGTTTAGACTAGACCCCCAACCAACTGATGTGCTAAGGACTGGCTGACGGAGACCCTGAAAGAGGTCAGGAGGGCGCCCCGGGAGAGCCGAGAGTGGAGCTTGCAGGGTAGACTGTCACAAGCCCCTGCAGTGGAGGAGACGTTCTGGACCTGCCTTCTCCAAGACACAGCCACCACCAGGCAGCCAGAACGACCAAGGAACTCAGCTCCCTAGGTGGTTCAAGCTCAGCCCTTTCAACACAATCAGCCACCTGGCCAAGGGCCCCACGCCCCACTATACAACACGACAAGGACCGTAACCGCCTCACTGTGAGGCCTCGGGAGTCCCGGAGAGGACCCCGGGACACGAGAAGGGAAGCCCAGCACTTGTGTCAGCTTCCTGCACCGCCACGGGGATGACACACACCTGCCTGGGGGGCTTTTCAAAGATGTGCCGGGTGCCCCCTAGGAGGCCAAAGACCACCCACAAAACAACGGCCGACCCCTCACCCCTCGGCAGGACACACCGAGCCCAGAAGGAGAAGCACTCACCTTATCCATCCGGTCCTTCTGCACCCCGTATTTCCCACCGAAGCCTTTGGAGTAGTCTGCAATGTGATGACACGGCACTCAGCCCCGGGCGGAGGACCAGTGGCCACCGACAGCAGATGCATACATGCAGATGTGGACACCCCGGAAAGCGCACCCAGAGCAACACACGAGGGCGTGGCACCAGAGCCCTTGCCTGCAAGGCAAGTGGGCCTCCACCCAGGGTCTCGGCGGCAAGCAGAGGATGGGGAGGAAGCGGTGGGCATGCTCTGTGTGCTCCCGGGACGAGGGTGTGGGTGCGGGCAGCAGGCAGGGCGTACCTCCTAGCACAGCCTCCACCCAGCCTCGCCCACTGCTGCCATCCTACCCTACCCAGCTTTAAAGAAAGGCTCTGAGGTGCGGTTTCTCTCGTTCTTTTGAAAGAGAGAAAACTCCCATGGACATCTATCAGCCACACTTATGCCACGGCCAAACAGGTCCACAAGACTGTCACACTGCCATGCAGTGTTAACACCACACAGAGCCAAGGCCACATCCATGTGGTTTGCGGGGTCAGCCCCAGGTGATCCTCTGCCTCCCTCCCTGAACACAGGATAAGGGCCTCTCAGGACTAACACCTCTCCAACTGCATGTCCAGGTCCTGAGGGAACTGCCCTGAGCAGAAGCACATCTGCATCTGGACTCCCAGCACCACCCAGACCCTCCTGTGATTCCAGCTTCCCGTACCTGAGCACACACCCAGACCCTCCTGTGATTCCAGCTTCCTGTTGTGAGCACACACCCAGACCCTCCTGTGATTCCAGCTTCCTGTTGTGAGCACACACCCAGACCCTCCTGTGATTCCACTTCCTGTACCTGAGCACACACTCAGACCCTCCTGTGATTCTGCTTCTTTTATGTGAACACACACCCAGAAACGTCCTGTGATTCCAGCTTCCTGTACCTACTGTCTGCTTCGTTGTGAAGGAGTTACACGCAAACAAGGTCATCAAAAAATAAAAACTCCAGAAAACACCCCGACAACTGAGACCCCAAAACCATGTGGACATGCCTGCCCTGTGCCCCCTCTGGTCCAAGGCCAGTAGTCGCGCTGAACCAAACACATTTCTCCCGGCCTCAGAGGCAAGAAGGCGGCTTATTCCACAGTCAGAGCAGCTGTGTCAACAGTGAGAGTTGCCGGGGGAGGCTGAGGGAGGCCAGGCACCCGCTCCAGAGACCAGTCACCTGCAGCTCACGCTCCCTTTTACCAAGCGCACACCCGAGAGGTTACAGGTGAGAAACTGAGTGGGGAAGAGTGCGCAGGGGGTTCCTCTCCGCAGAGCAGTGGGGAAAGAGCCAAGCCCTGCGGTGACAGCGGTGACCAGAGGCCAAGCCTGAGGTCTGTGCTAAGCGGGGGCACGGGAAGGGAAGAAGGGGGCTGGGAAGCAACTGTGCCTTGCTGGGACCCGTGCTTGGCCAGTTTCTCCTTGTAATCAAACCCCACAGCACAGGAGTCCTGCCTCTCGGACTGAACACCAAATCTGCCTCCGAAACCAGTCTTATAATCTGAAAATCCACAGGAGACCGTGGAGAAAACAACCAAAAAAGGAAAACAAATTTGGTTAAAATCGTAGGTTTGCAGGAATCAAACACGGCGCTTCGAGAAAACAAGAGCCCCGTCGAGCGAGGGAGCCACAGAGCCAGCTCCCGGCATCACCAATGGTCACAAAGGGCTCAAAAGGTTGAAGGACAAATGAAATCTGAACGGGTCAGCCAAAGCTCAAAAGCAGGCTAGGACCTGTCTGTAAGCTGGCTGGGAAAAGCCATGACAGGCTCCGAGCTTTGTCTCGAGGGTCCTGCCTGCACTGCAGACAAGAACATGTGTCTCTGCATACGTCAAAGAGACACTTCACACACACAGCCTGTCCCCAGCCCTGCGGCAGCCCTGCTCTGGACCCACCCCCTGGGAGGGCGTAAGCCAGGCTCTGGCAGCCACTCTCCCAGGGACACAGCTCACCTCCTGGCTGGGAGCACCGAGCCGCCCCTTCAGCCACCCGTGCGGGAAGAAGCAGCCCCTTGGAAACTGCAGTGGCAGCCAGGGCTGCAGGGCACAGAGGCCTCACCGCAACCCCCCAGGGGATCACTACAGGCAGAGGGGTCTTTTCAAAGCTGAGGGAGGCAGAGGGACCCTCCCCGCCCCCCAGGGAAGACACGACACACCGCCACACAAGTACTGCGAGGCCCGGCGCACAGGAACCTGTGAACAAGGCTGAGCTCCGGGAGGCCGCGGGGGGGAACGCACCTTTCTGGGACTCATGCAGCTGGGGCTTCTCCTGGTGGTCCCAGCCGAGGGCACACTTGTCCTGTCTGTCCGTCTGCACACCAAACTTCCCCCCGAAGCCTTTCACGTAGTCTACAGACAACACAAAAGGCCAAAACCGAGCATTAACAGGCAGCCTGCCTAACAGGGAGAAAGCACGTTTTCCACAAAGTTAAACACACACAGCTCGCTCAACCCTTCCTTGCTCCTGTATGTGAGTGTGCTCCAGACCTTTGGTAAAACTTCCAGTGACCTTCATTAAAAGGACCTCCGCGCACCATGTCCAGAAAATACCCTGAGCTACAATCTGGGTCTCCTGGATAAACACAGATGGGACCCCAGGCGGGAAGACCCAAGGCGTGCTGCTCAACCAGCGGGGTCTCTTCCGCACACAGACGGGAGACTTGAGGGCCGTCACCAGCCACTCTGCTGCGGTGTCAGAGCCACAGGCTGGCCAAGGACTGCGTTTCTTAGTTAACAGCGCTGGTTTGTATGTGCTGTTTTCAAGTTCCATGTTTAACAGCACATCTGCCCTCAGGCCTCCTGGCCATGTTCCGGTTCTCTGTGTCTGCCCTGATTATCATCCGGCACATTAACAGCCGCTGGCTGGAGAATGAGGTAAAGCTGAGGCCACCTTTCTGGGACTCGTGCTTCTCCGTTTTGCCTTGATACTCGAAGCCGACTGCGCTCTTATCCACCTTGTCCTTGTCGATACCATACTTGCCACCGAAACCTCTGGAGTAATCTGCAAACAAGAAAAGGCATCGTCACACACCGCCACAGGAACAGCAAGCAGGCTGTGAACCTCAGCAGTCTGGAAGGAAGAACTTCTATCACTCCTTCAAACCAACCAACCAAGGGGCTTCCTGGTGGTTCAGCGGTAAAGAACCCGCCTGCCACTGCGGGAGACATGGGTGTGACTCCAGGTCCAGGAAGATTTCCTGTGCTGCAGAGCAGCTACGCCTGCGCACCACGACGACTGAGGCAACGTTCTAGAGTCTGGAAACTGGCAGCTATTGAGTCCACACGCGCTAGAGCCTGCGCTCTGCAACAAGACAAGCCACTGCCCTGAGAGGCCCATGCAATCACAACTAAAGTAGCCGGCCTGCTGCAACTAGAGAAAAGTCCTCACAGCAACAAAGACCCAGTGCAGCCAAAAAAAAAAACCAACAACAACCAGGGGGACTTCCCTGGTGGTCCAGAGGCTTAAGACTCCACGCTCCCAAAGCAAGCAGCCCAGATTCAATCCCTGATCAGGGATTTAGATTCCAAAAGTGGCAATAAGGATCCTAAATACGGCAACTAAGATCCCAGCAGTCAAATAAGTAAATAACTGGGGGAAAAAAAACTTTAAGGCCTACTCTAAGATTGCAAATGTGGAAAACACTTCAAAATATTATTTATATGTACAGAAGAACTGCAAAAAGTAGTAAATACAGCAAATAAATAATTGCAGCATCTCTCCTTTATTCCAGAAGACGGCATGAAGACAAAGTTGACATGAAGCTTCTGAAATCAAGGATGAGCAATAGGAGCAAGCTTTTAGAAGGTCACTCGAGGCAGGGGCTTCCTTGGCAGTCCCGGCAAAACCAATGCAGGGGGCACGAGTTCAATGCCTGGTCTGGGAAGATTCCACTTGCCACAGGGCAGTTAAGCCCATGTGCCACAACTACCGAGCCTGTGTGCTGCAACTATTGAAGCCTGAGCACCTAGAGCCCACGCTCTGCAACAGGAGAAGCACCGCAATGAGAAGCCCATGAACCGCAACCGAGAGTAGCCCCTGTTCACCGCCAACTAGAGAAAGCCCGCACAGAGCAAGGAAAGGCAGCCAAAAATAAAACAAACACTAAGTCACCCTGCTTCCTCAACTACAGCAGAGGCGAGATGGGGCATCTCCAAACAAACAGACTAAATGAGGAGCACCTTCTAGGAACGTCAGTTCCGCTCAAGGCTAAGTTACTATAAACACTAGATAGCTGTTCTTACACACAGCAGGCTCCGTCACAGACCCGTGAGCCGGGACTCATCCCCACCCGGGCAGGCCCAGAGCTGCCAAGGACACCTGCACTGCTCCAGGCACTTCGGCCTCTGCTCCCCAGCTTCCTGGAGGCGTCGTTATTCTTCTGCAAGGGCATCTGCAGAGAAAGCCTGGCAAAATGAACAGGATCCAACAGCAGGTCCTGATGAGCACGTGCACATGGGCAAAGGCGTCCAGGTGTGTCCCCAGCACACGGAGGGGCAGCCCAGCGCCAGGGCAGGCAGGCCTCGGGCAGAAGGAAAGCAAAGCCCTCAGGTCCAGCCGCCCTTCCCTCAGAGAGACGCCTGGTCACTGGTGCTGCCAGTGGCGGCTTTCATTTTCGATTCTTAAAANAAAAAAAAAATAAATAAATAAATATAGTAATTTATACAAGATGCTTAAAAAAAAACAAAACTTGAATGCGCAGGCCAAACAAACACACCATGCAGAAGAACCAGCCAATCTCAAGCTCTGCAACAGGGGTCAAGCCTTTGTGTCCAACTCCACAGACACGCACCTCAGTGGGCAGAGTGCTGTAATGGACCTCCAACAGGGGGCACCACAGCAAAGGGAGGGTCAGGGGGCTGCTAAGGACAACCTGGCAGCATCCAGCAAAATTTTAAGTTCAACATCCTTTGACTCAGCAATTCCAATGCTAGAATTTATCTTTTAAATAATCACTTTTGTACGTAAGATACAAGGACAAGAATATTCACGGGAGTCAATTCTTAACATCCAAAACTGGAAATAAGCTCAACTCCACCTTCTAGAAAGGAACAGTTCAGGGACTACACAATCTTCATACAGTGGAGAAGCGAGCAGTCATCGAAACGACGATAAACCACCTACACCGACCAGGTAAGAACAGGGATGTCCAAATACTTCAAATTAAGAGATTTGTATAAATAAAACATAAACCAATCTGCAAGGGGAGAGAGAGCTCGCTGGGCTTCAGTAAACGCACATGCGACGAGGGGCCCTGGGCGCCCCAACAGTCAGTGTGGTGCACAGCGGCCCGCCCACCCACCTCTCTGTGACTCGTGTTTCTCCGTCTTGCCCTGGTAGTCGAAGCCCACAGCACTCTTGTCCACGCGGTCGGACTGCACGCCATACTTGCCACCGAAACCGCTCGAGTAGTCTGGGGAGACAGGGCAGCAGCGGGTAAAGCGTGTCAGGGCAAAACATCACTCTGGTTAAAAGCAGCAGGACAAAAGTTTCAGGCGACAATGCACCAGGAGATAGGGACACGTGTGAAGCAGCACAAGGAGCCACCCGCCATCAGATATGGCGCTGGGTGTAGTCTCATGTCCCTGCAGTCTGGCCCCTTCCGGCGGCTGGAGGGCAGAGGTGAGCCACAAGTTACTTTGTAAGGTAACCATTCAAATAAAGCTCAACACATAAAGAAAGGGACATGGCCACATGGGTCTTTCCAGAAAAGACCAGAGCCTGCCAACACCCTGGGCTGGGCGGACCAGGCGGACCTGCCCCCAGAGCGCGCCCAGGCCAGCTACTTCCCCAGTCATCGAATGCCCTGCGAGAGGCGTAAGCAAACAGGCTCACAAAAGCAGCTCGAGTGCTTTGGGAGAGCGATGTGCTTTCACTGAAAAAGGGCTTACGAGGGAGCACGAGCTTGTGAAGACCAGCCAGCACCCTGTTCAAGACGGCGCGGGCGTTATGCAAACATCAGCAACAAAACAGCTCTGGTTACTATCCTAAGGGGAAAGTCTGCTTTGCCAACCAAGCTTAAGAATGAACTGTTCCTGAGGCAACGCTGCTCAGAGGAGGGGGAGGCAATGGGGTGACATAAGACGCCAGGGTCCATGTGCTGCCTGCCGGGGACCCCGCCACACCACACCACAACCCAGATGCCTGAAGGAGAGGGCAGTGTCCTACCCATGGCGACACCTGCCCCCCCCCCATGAGGCCTCAAGGGACATGCTCCTGCCCTTCAAAAGCAGGGGGGGCTTTCTGCATCTCCTCCATCTCACCTTTCTGCGAGGCATGTTTCTCGGTCTTCCCCTGGTACTCGAAGCCCACAGCAGACTGCAGTCACAGAAAAAGAGGAGATGCAGATTTCAATGTCTGGATCCACAACATATGTGACATTTTAAAAAACACAAAGCATGTTATTGGTATTTTATTTTTTTCTTTCCTAAGCTACTAATGCCCAAAGCACCAGTATTTTGAATTTGCACACCTTGAAACACTCACTGAAGCCTGGGGGCCGCCCCAGCCAATGAGCAAGGCGGCCCTCAATGCTATGACAGAAAACGAGAGAGCCGCCAGCCCTGAGCCAGGGCTTCAGACCAGAGGAACAGCATCAGACACAGCACAGCCCTGGAATTAGGTGAGGGGAGGCGCTCTGTCACTGTGACACAGGCAGAGACAGAGTCCCCACTGTCCCCCAGGACACACCAAAAGCCATCCCAGGCACCAACACGGGGGTTTCTACAGCCATCAGGGGAAAGCCCTTACTCTTGACCGTGCTCACCTCTTAAAACAGCCCACCATCTCAGAGCATCTGTTGGGGGGGGCCCCTCAGGAGCCTGTGCTCGGGACCCCCGCCTTGCATTCCCAGAGTCCAAGGCCCCTCTGCGCCACTCCGAGACGCCCAGGGAACACTCGGGGCAAGCTCAATCTACAAGGTGGGGCCTCGGCTGCCCAGGACGCTTCACTCACCTGGTCCACTCTGTCCACCTGGACACCAAACTTGCCTCCAAAGCCCCGGACGGAGTCAACCTGTGAGCAGTGCTTGGAGAGCTTTGACTGATACTCATGGCCGACAGCCGACTGGAACAGGGGCAAAAGTGAAGCATCAGACACCCACCAGCATTGCCACACTGGACCCGCCCCCCGACCCGGAGGCAGCCTGCGCTTCTGCTCGGCGTGGGTGATGCAAACAAAACCACTCAACGTGGAAGCCGGCCCAGGGGGAGGTGACTCCGGGGCATCACAACGCCAGGGCCCCAGTCAGGTGTTCCTGAACCCTCTCCACACCAGGCTCCCCAGAAGTTGCCTGAACCCAGTCACAGGGGGCCTCCTGAGGTGCCTGGGCGTGAAAAACCAGGAGGCCAGGCCCCAGCCAGCACCACAGAGCCAGCAGCCTGCCAACGACTCCTGAGACCACTTCCAGGAAGACTGCCGGCAGTGATCACCATCCTCAGGTGGCCCTCCTCAAAACACATGTCCCAAGAATCGGCACAAACCAGAACACAGATGACATGCTTCAGGCACACCACACGTTCAGTGTCAACACCTGCTACACACCCAGCCCACCCAGCTGTGCAGTGGGGCCTGCCACCGCCTCGCCACCCCCCCAGTCAGGGAAGCAGTGACCTCTCAAGGCCACGTCCTGACCGAGCAGTCCACCCCGAGCTTGCTGCTGTGTGGTCAGCAAGCCGGGGCCTGAGGCCCACATCCAGCACCGAGGTTCTTTGTAAATAAAGCGTTCTGGAACATACCACGTGTGTTCATTTACAGAAAATCTACGCCTAACTTTGTGTCAAGACAACACAGCTAGTTCAGGAGCCGCCCGAGACCCTGCGGTGGCCAGGAAGCTAAAAATATTTACACCCCGCGCTCTGAGCGGCCCCATGCTGCTCCAGTCGCCCAGGCCCGACCCTCAGAGTAAGGCAGCAGGCACCCTCGGCAGAATGGACAGTGGTCACGGACCTCTCTGTGGACACTGAGGACACAGGACAGATGACTGACGCATGACCCGATGCCGGGCAAGGAGGCAGCTCGTCCAGAGCCTAAATCCTCCTCAGGGAGTCACCCCCACCTTGGCCCCCTCCTACAATACAGCGAGGGGCCTGCCGGCGCGCTACCAACTCCTCTCCCACTTGTTTACCCGGAACTTCGGCGGCAGCGTTTAGGGTCCAAACCCCACAAGGTCACCACCACTGCCAACAGCTCTGCAGGCAGCTCAGGGCGCACTTTCTTCCACAGCCAGGGAGCAAAGCAGGTTTCACTTTCCAGTCCGAAGCTGTGACTCTCTCTCCCTCCCAGGCTGGATCTGATGCCCACAGCTAACAGCTGAGCACCACGGCCTCGGAAAACCCGTGGCAGAGACCAGCCATCTGCAGCTTCGGGACTCTCACCCAGACAACATCGACAAGGGAACGCGGAGGCAGCAGCGTGCCCAAAGGACCCCCGCGTGACCTTCATCACTAAGAAGTCAGAGAGCTGTTCCACAAACACGGCCAGAGTGAAAGCTCAGCGATTCCCCCGACTTTCTGATCAAAACAGCTCTCTCCCCCAGACTGGCCTTTGTCCTACACTGACGAGACTCTGTTTCTTATCAGACAGTCAGCACCAGGCAGAGCACTGTGGGGAGCAACGGTGACACTCGGGTCATGGGGGGCGCCCCCCTCTCAAGCAGGTGCTGGCCCACCAGTGCCACAAGCTCTGTCATTCCGGGCGGAGTCCGATCCGGGCACAAGGGGGACGGGCTGGAATTACAGAGGAACCCGCCCCCAGCTGACACCTCAGCACAGAGTGAAAGCAACATCTCAGGTTACCCCACCTGGGAAACGCGCACCCGCTTCACTGCACACGCAGCACACCTGCTCGGGTCTACTGTCCTCTCTGCAGGGCGGACACAGCCCCCAGCTGATCCAGCCCCCTCTCCAAGCACCAGCAAAGGATGCTGCACTGTTAACAGCTTCAGTCCCACCTCCTTAGACCTGCCTGTCCTCAGCGTGGTGGGCCACAGCTTGACGCCAGCGGCCAGGGTCCTCTCTGAAGGTCACTAAGTGTGGGAAGGACAGCGGGCCAGGTGGCTGACTTCCCAGCCTCAACATGAAACCAGGCGCTGGAACTCAGCTCTGGGCCGCAGATGGGAACCACTATGGCTACGCCTGAACCCCAGGTGATGCCCAGGCAGCAGCCTCCATCCCCGTCAGAGCCA